AGAAAAATTCCGGCAGCAGATTTACCAGAATATCCTTCCTATTTTCTGTTAATTACAGGAAATATTATTAGTCATTCTGTAATTTAACAGATTTTGTAGTAAAATATTTCTGTTATTTAAAGCAAATATTTTACAAGAAATTCTGTTATATAACTGAAGGCAAAATTTAAATTCTGGTAAATCAGCTGCCGGAATTTTTTCTGTTAATCGAAGGAAATTTTTTTTACAGTGTATCAATAATAAATAAATATCCACAAACGCTGGAACTAACGATACTTTTCACACATATGATAAAAACAAGGAAATCAATATTACGGTTAGTGAGTCGATGGAGTTAGTACACGGCTAAATGTCTTAACGAACATATGAAATGATAATAAAAAATGATAAAAAATGAACACCCAAAACGTAATATATATCACCTTTGCACTGGATTTATTTACTTTTTGTGGCAAGAGAAAATCTCAATCTGTCTATGAACCTGGGATCGTTCACATCAATATAGGTAAAACTCTTAATACAACGTTTCAACATTGAGTCCAATTCTGCTTCCGGTATACTTTCATATTTTATGATAATCAAATGGCGGCGTTTCTTAGTAACACTTTCTTCGTAAGCCTCTTTGAATTCTGCCATTGACCAAACACTTTGAATAAATTTGCGAGATAAAACTACGATGGTATGGCGACTATTTTCAATGCTGTCAATGATGTTCAGAAGGATGCTTTTTCCACAGATGAAATCCCTTTCATGTATACATAAAGACAAGGCATCGTGGGATTCAAACGGTGACTCCAACTTTTGGACGAGATGACCTAACACCCACTGACTCTCAGACGAACTGTAAGATATGAAGGCATCAAATCGTTTCATCTCTGCAGACTTGTCAACGTCCCAGGGAAACAAAACTTTAAATTTCACGTACAGGAGGAGTTTAATCTCTTTACGGAATTTGAATAAAAGAATTAAACAAACAATCAAGACGACAGCCAATACTCCTAATACAACTAAATAAATTGTTAAATCGTCCGGTGGAATTTCACAGCCCATCTCAGCTTTACTCAAATTAATTATTTTGATACCCCTAGCAGTTGCTGGACTAGCACATTTCATGTTTTGTATATATTTATATTTCTGCATCTTACCATCAAAGAAGGTGTCATCTTGAACTGCGTTCAGGAAATCTTGTTTAAAACATCCGCAATCCAAAGGATTTCCTCGTATGTTCAGTGTAATGTCTTGAAGTTCTGTCCATTTGGAGATTGTTTCAGTGGTCAATGTGGTGATGTTGTTATAACGAAGATCTAAAACTACATGTCGACCAGGATAATCATCCCAAAAGCGATTCACATTCCAAATATCAGATATTAAATTATAGCTATAGTCGATATATTCCAGTTTAGGAAATTTATGCATGTTTTCTTTCCATTCTTGCGGGAACAGTTGATAGCCGTTGTATGAATAATTGAATACTCTCATGTTTGGATATTGTCTTTTGACGCTTTTGAAAATAATATTTAGGTTTTGAGTATGCAATGTTTCACTCATTACCACTTCAAGAACTTCTAACTTTTGGTAATTGCATTCTGGTTGATAATCGAAATCAACAATATTCTTGATATTCCACCATTGAAATGGATCAGGTACAACACTTGAGTTTGCAATCAATATGTTAAACAGGATTTTTTGTACATATAATTTAGTTTCATTGCTTAAATTGTCAAAGTCATTCTGATTGGGTTCTATAATAACTGATGTAATGTTTCTAGAAATAGATTGTTTAATGGTTGTATCAGGACCACACATCCAATCGTTTGAAACATTTTGAAAATTGTCAAGAGAAAGCAGAAGTGGGAGGATATGAAACACGAGGGTACAATCTGCAATTTCTTCATATACTAGGCTATCTTTGATGCTTCCAAGTGACTGGTGGTTCCAATCATCATAATACTCGAAAATACGACAACCAAACACTTTCAGACTGTACAGTTTGTGAATTTGCATCGGTAATCTCATTGTTACGCTGGCATTGGGACTGCATTTCCATAGTACCGAATACTTCACATTAGCTGCTGTGTTATTAGTGTAATCGTTCAGATCTTTTAATGTCAGTAATTTTTGGTCTTCAGGTTTTAGGTTACATGTGATATTGACGAATTCTGTGGAAATGGTAACGTCGCAATAGGGATCCCACGATGGTGGGTATAAATTCTGACTTACTGTCACCGTAATGTATATACTCATGAAAAGGAGCACTGTAACCTTGGCCATGTTGATGCCTAAAATTAAATAAAACATTACTTCCTTGTTTTAATCGTATCTAGGATGTCTATATTGTGTACGTTACGCTTAACCAACTTTCAAAAGAGTTATATCAGCAGCCATGTTTAAAAATGCATGCTTAGGTATAACGTGTTAAATATGATTCTCTTATAGAAACACAAGCATAAGTCACTATAGAGACCATGTATTTAGACATGTAAATGTATCAAGATTAATATCTAAATGGACAAATTCGCCATTTTTGACCAATCGTATCTTAATCTCAGAAAAAGAACTTTTTTAGCCAAGCTCTTCGGTGATAGTGCTCACAGCCTTCAAACTCATGTGATTCCAGAATCCAGAATTAACCTTGTTTGAAAGTTAAAAAGACGAGTCACCTTTCTTGAGACACTGATATATATAGATAAGAAATCTATAGAAATAGAAATAAAAAAAAATCTAGGTTTGAGATATTTTTGAAGGAATTATTCGATTTTCGTACATTTCTAGTGCTTTATAAGACTATTTACCTATCCAACAATTGAATCATCCCCCAAAAATGGCGAATCACCAGGAACACTTCAGGTGTTCAATATATTATTTAGTGGTGTCAATTGTGCTATTGGGCCTAGATTATAGCTTACACTCATTCAGTTAATATTGAAGTAGGGTGATACAAAGACACAGTTTAATTTATGTATATTGATTGATCTTTATGTTATATAATTATGTTCTTCATTTTGCCCATTCCTGCCCAAAATTCAACTAAAAGTGTTTAAACCTGTCGAGAAATTTGTGAAATGATATCTTATATAAATATTCTTGAAGTGAAAATCGTTATCGTTATGCGTTATGACATATTCGATTACGTGCAATTACAACTATAATACAACCGCAATTTCCCTAAATGTACTTGTTCGCTTTCGGTCTTACCAAAAGATAGTAACCACCTTACCTTTTATATCATTAGATGTATAAATCCTTTCAAATCTAAAACTGAGAAATAAATCAACAAATATTAGGCAATGTATAGTAGATATTCCTTCGTGAACAAGAAGTTATTCAACTGGTATTTTACTAAGCTGTACAGTATTATAACAGCATGCATACAATAGGGACTATTTACATTCACAAACAATTTCGTTACGATTGACACACAAACCATGCAATAAATAGATATTCAATGTTATGTATATACATAAACCGCCCCAGTTCATTCATAAGGCTTAGAGTTTTCTCAATTATACGAGATTTACCGCTTAAACAACTTAAAAAGGCCGGATATCATATTAATATATTAAGCACACAATTACTACAGACTGTCAAGTGTGAAGTGAACAAGGAAATAAAAATTAGGGATCTAGTACCCCGGGCCAAGGTCTAAATCGTTGTGGACGGACAAAAGTCCCTCTGCAATTTTGCACTAGGACAAAAGCTCCTCCGGACAAACGCCGTCATCACATTAATATTATTTTATGCATAAACGTTGCCGTTGAACTATCCTGAAATTCGTAGACTTTTTCTGTGCTAATCCTCTAGACAGGTTTTCAGCGGACAAATTTTGACTTTATTTTAACACGACTGGATTCTGATTATCGGATTACTGCAGAGCTTTCGCCATGTAGCACTTCAATTGCCAGAAGTCCCCGAAAACACCTGATTTCGTTGAAGGACTGTCACACAGTGGCTGGGAACACTCGCTAGCCACCCTGTCAATTTTGGTCACTAGAATGATAGTGTAGAAATAGCTAGTTTGTAAAGTCAGAATCGTGTCTGAATGAAATGTATTAGACTATTACGTTTAACTCTCTGTTCAATACTGGACATGCAATTAGAACATTTTGCCAATTGATGAGGGATCTGTAACGTACACGACATTTACAACTCAATCTGCAGTATTTGATAACTCTGGGAAGGAGTTAGTTTCCTACTAGGAAGTTGGAATTATCACTTGATTTTTTTCGAGATACATTTGACAAACCAGTACAAACGCATGCTCTATAGAGAGAAATATACTTTATTTGTATAAAAATTATATCACGTGTTCATTATATAATTCTGATTGGTCGCCCAACATTAACTACTCGTCCTATGATGTCATAAATCATGAAATGAGTGAGATAATTTTAGCTACCCGAGTTCTCCAATAGAAAATACGACTTCCGGGCACAATTTGAAGTAACGAATTCTATTTACCATCTTGGAAGTGGTATTTCCCAGAGGTAACAAATAGAGCGTTAGTCTAAATCCGAGCCCAGTCCACAATGGTTAGTGAGTAAGCTTCAGTGGTTAATTATGCTCATAATGTAAATACTAAAACGCTTATTTTCAACTAAACCATATTTTATTGAAAGAATCTCGACCATGAACGTCAAACAAGTTGTTTCCCTTGAATCACTCGATATTCGCCAAAGGCTGTCCCGATATGAGTAACACCGCGAATAGACGATGCGGTGTCCTATGTGGGATAATCCATGTAGAAAGAAACGATAGAAGTGAATATATGAGGTACGGGACACGGTGCGGACACGATTCCTTTCTTATAATATCTACTGTATCGCAAATCTCACACCGCATCGGAAACTATAAAAGTTGGAATAGACGAGGTACGGTGTCCAGTACAGTGTACCGTGCTGAATTATAGAACCAGTAGAAAATAGTAGAAGCGAATTGTATCCGAACCGTCTTCGAACCCGTACCTCGTACGTCACTTATTGTTTTCTACGTTATCATTAACTCCGCACCGGACACCGTACCTCGTCTATTCTCATCTTAACCCGTCTATTCGCATCTTTAATTCATTTTTATTTTGTTTGCTTTAACTTATATTCAAGTATATGCAAATGTACACCTGTCGAAATGATATGACTCTCTAGAAATTTGTTGGCCGATACAAAAAAGAAATGCAATAATGTGGTAGTAACGTAAGGTAAGGAAATTGTTCACAACTGGTATATACTTCTCTCTATTATATCGTCAGTTGAATCATTAGAACGTGTCATATCTTTTCTTTTTCATCAACCTATATAATGTAAAGTATGTGTCAAAAATTGGACAGAAATGTCAGAAAATACATAAAATACATTCTTAAAGTCTAAAACTCTCATTGTCAATTCTTCTGATACAAACAGAGATCTTTCGGAAAACACTGTATTGTCGAAATCAATATATTGACTTTAGCTGTTTAGGGAGACCGTGAGACCGTGTTCTGAAGACAGAACATTTTTTTTAACAGGCATTATTGCAATGTGTCCAGTGTTAAAACCAATGGGCTACAGAATACAGTTTAACTTCAAAACACGCATAAATTATTTCAAGATACCTTTTCTAATGACGTCTTACAAAACACACAGTATGCAAAAGTGCTTACTCTGAACGTCAATCTAAACCTTAAAATAATAATAATAATAATAAAAAGTACTATTAAAATTAGAATACAATAATAGACCTTGTTTTTTGCTGAAACTATAACAGTTCAAGGTTTATCTCTGTACATGAGGCCTAGGGCTGAAGTTTTTTAGGGTTATTTTGACTGATTATATACCCAAGCTCAATCTTGACAAGCTGTCTAAAGTCTTCGTGTTTTGCTGAAAATACATCAATAGGTTATGGTTTTAACCTTTGAAATATTGGTCTGAAATGAAATGTTAAAGAGGCATGTGTTTTAATTACGTTGAAAGGCATCATGGCAATATCTACGATTATATCAGACGATGCTCCGATTCAGCAATTAAAAGAGTCTGACGGAGACTTCTTGATTCTGAAAGTTTTAACTTTTTATTACCGTTTATTTTACTGATATAAAAAAGGTGAAACAAAAAATGTCGGACGTCACATAAAAGTATATATTATGTCAGTCTGGAAGGCATTTATCACATATAATACGATTCTTTATAGATTAATTAATAAATATTCCATCAAAAGGGAATGTATAGCGGGATAATAGAGTGAAGGTTACACTGTAAAAATAATTTCCTTCCATTAACAGAAAAAATTCCGGCAGCTGATTTACCAGAATTTAAATTTTGCCTTCAGTTATATAACAGAATTTCTTGTAAAATATTTGCTTTAAATAACAGAAATATTTTACGACAAAATCTGTTAAATTACAGAATGACTAATAATATTTCCTGTAATTAACAGAAAATAGGAAGGATATTCTGGTAAATCAGCTGCCGGAATTTTTCTAATATTTCCTGTAATTTAACAGAAAAATAGGAAGAATATTCTGGTAAATCTGCTGCCGGAATTTTTCCTTCCAGTTCTGTAAAAAAACAGAGTTTTAAAAAGGGTATTCTGGTAATAAATCTGTTGCCAGAAATCATTTTCATTTTAGTGTAAAATAACAAAACATTTCAACTTTATGTGTTTATTGGTATTATTTGTGCATTTAAAATAATCAGAGAAAATGATGTTAACTACACCTTTAATTATACATACAACTGAAAATGTGGGCGTATAAAAACAATCTCTTGCATAAAAACAAATGATGAACTTGAAATACATACTCATCACTAATGACATCTTTAACACATCTTTTAATGACATTCTCATAACTAATGACATCTTCATAACGTTCTGATTTAACTAATTCGGATTTAACTAATGTCGTTTTTTATTTATGTTGACACTCTTTTCTCCACATTGCCCATATTTTATTAATATTGACAGAACTTCAAGGACCTGTGGTCCACTTCACTTTTTCTAGTGTTCCACAAGGTTATAAGACTCCATCATCCAGCGCAATACAGTTTATGATGCAACTCTAATCATTATAAGGCCTAATTGTTTTTAATGTGCACAGTTAATTGTTGCTCGTTCGAAAGTCAGGTCAAGTCTCATAATGCTCCGTAACTTTTAGCTGGTAAATAATGGCAGAAACTCTAAAGAAAGGGAAAAGGTGACATACCTGAAAAGATAAACTTAGTAGTAGTGTAGTAATAGTAGGGCACTGGATCTTTTATCCAGAGTCCAATTCGCCCTCGTTTACGAATTTTGTAATGCCTCGCCCACGTAGTGGGTCCTAACATTGAGTGTAAACGGTTAAGGTTTATTCACAAGAATATTAATGACAGAATTCTCATTCCTTGTATCCTTGTACTCTGGTGCAATCATAACCGTAAAAGGCTGTAAGTACAAAAAAAGCGAGGACTACTAAAACAGAAAAAGAAATTATAAATTTAAAATAATAAAATAGTAAAGGCATAAGAAAGTGGATGGAATTTCAGATCATGATGCAATGACACACTGTCACTTATCATGGGTGGCCTACAAAATAATTTCTTAAAAGCAAGTTGCACAGTTTGACATTCCAGACATCGATAAGACATTGCAAATGTTATTAATAGTAGGTACAAACATTTTATATAGTGTCACATGTACAAAGTTGGTGGGAAAACTGACTTGAGGGATCTATGCATAATTTGGCGCCATTTTGTCGGGTTTGTTTACATTTTGGTAAAAGTTTTCAGGCAGCATGAACAAATATAAAATTGCAATAGAAATTATGGATCCTGTGATATTTCATATCGTCGGAGGCTTTCTTATGTAATCGGGCATAAACTTACATTGCGGTTGGCTAAACCTGAAGATTTGAGAAATGAATTTGAGGACTTCATTGCTATGAAAAATTATTAATTTTTCTACTCTCTTAGACAGAAGAGTTCTAAACAGAAAGATGACTCTTGACAAGACTGATCTAAGTTTCAGACCACAAATACGTATAAAGTGATAAAATGGTAACATTACAAATTTATTTAGGCAATAATTAAAATACACTCACCTGTGAATTTGTATTCAGTGATCATTTCCACTCTACCCAAGACCAAGTAAGCTAAGCCTATTCTAGTTCATCATGTAGGATAAATTTAAGTCATTTTGTCGTTGTCCCCGCATGCTTAAAATTCAGTAAAACATTTTGCAGTTTTTGACAAAGGGTGATAATAGAAAAGGAATGAGTGGTGGAATATCGGGTCAGCATTTCGAGTTCTCCATGCATCTCACCATATTAAATTTAATTTAAGAAATTCACAAAAATCCCTTCGACGTAGCCTAGTTTTGATGTGGGATTAGATGGCGGCGTGACGATAGACTGACCTCGTGTCTTTACCGATGACGTCATACCTACTTTGATGGGCAGGTCGAAACTATCATAACGCAAAATCACAGTTTCCGTAAATTTACAGCAATCCTGTTATAATTTAAGGAAACATAAAGTTCCTGTCAAAAAAACAGTATGACCACGTATGCGCAGACTTCGCTTATCTACAGACAAGTTTGGACATACATGATAATAACACAGAATTTACGTATATTTACTGACAAATAACGTAATTGTTCTTAAATGACATACGACCAAGATTAATTTACGTAAAATAACATATTTCCTTATTGCGGAACTAACATTCTGTTAATGTAAGAACAAAGTCCGTAAATCAACAGAAAAGTATGTATATCAGCAGAAATTTACGTATATCAACAGAAAATATGAAGTACATTTCTGTAAAAAAAACGGACTTTTTTTACAGTGTAGGAATATTCGCCACATTATCTTTATGTAAGCTGTGGCCTTTATGCGGTATCCTTAATTGTACGTGTAGAGGGAGCATTGATAGCATCAATTTGCACCATTCCAATTTTCAATCAGACGTGCGTGGTTCCTGCAATTCCACTACAATTAAGTGTTTGTAAATCGCAAAAGGCCTTAAATGATGAAGCATATTCATTATCGATTATAGTTTACTGCTGAGTAGATATTAATTTTTGACACACTCGCGTGCTTCCGATGAGTGTACGGTACGTTGTTAAATCGGTCAGTTGATATGCTGATATTTTGCCCTTCCTTCATCAATTTACGAATATTAACCCTATCAGACATTATCTTTGAAGTATACTGGTATTCCATTAGCAATTGGATTTAGCCAGAGGCAGAATCATCAAACAGATATAATTGATTAGATTTAGAACTCAAACAATGTACAGACATCAGTGAAAACCGGATCAGGACAAACATAATGTTATATAACATTTTATTTATATCATGTTCATAATGATTAGTTTCTTTGTAAACTTTATCATGTAGCCAAATCCAGTGAGTAAAGGTAAATTGTCAGAAAAAAATACAATTGGATATTTATGGACCAATCCAATGTAAATTACGTGTTTTGTGTAAGGACTTATTTCAGGCGTGGTGAGATGACAATATATTGTATTAGAGAATTTTAGAAGATTTATGCAACTGTCATATTGTGACAATGTCGAAGGGAAAAGCGTTTTGTTTTTCACAAAAACACAATTAATATACGACATTTATGTTTATGTATTGCCATCCATCTACGTCAAAATAATGAACTTCGTCTACTTTTAAAAGCATATGATACACGACCAGTTTCTCATAAACCAGTTTTTGTGTTGAGCTATAACACGTTTGACTGCATTAATGAACACTTATATTTTTAATTTTTCACGGTTTTTGAAGGCGAGGGAGTAATAATTAGATGAAACATAGGAGGCTTGGAGGTTACTATGACCCGATTATTTAAGTATTTTAGTATGTGTTCGAAGTTGTTTCGATATCACTAGTACACTAGTACTGGATACGACACAGTTTCGTCTTAAGACCTTACGAAGTATTTAGGTTACAAGGCTATGGTGGTAATCCTTGAATGAAAATTTGAGTGTTGGTGGAGAGACAATTTTGACCTAAGGGTAAATGTACTGGTGAGGAATTAGAAAGAAGAAGACGACGTTTTGTTTTCGCGTGGAATACCAAAGTTATCATCACGTATTTTTCGTGAAGAGTTCGCGTCTTAGTCTATTTGGTAATGGCGTTCCAGGATAATTTTTATTCCATTTTGGGAATCTTGCTTCTTTGCACTTTAAGTGTGAGTGTAACCCTTTACCCGCCATCTTGGAATGAGATTTGTGATGTGAACAGAACAGACAATCATCTGTTTTTGAACTGTGTGGCTGAAGGACATGAAGGAGTACGGTTTATATTTAAAGATTTAGTAAATTACTCAACGGGTGTAAATACGACCTATACTGTTCATATAACGTGTCGTGGCACCGGAAACATTTCAATGATCTGGCCGGTTAAAATCCCGGGATTAATCGATGTTCGAGTCGAAGGATGTAAAATTTATGATTATATAAATGACTGGAATAATGCAAGTTTAGATAATACACCCGATAATCTTCAATCTTTACAAATAGTTGACTCGACATCTATGATCGACGTTAGTGTATTATTTACAAGTTTAAATAATGTACAAAATATTACCGATGAATTTACTTGTGGACATGAGGAAACAATTCGAGTGCTCAAAATGAGAAATATGTCGATGGCATTCCACGTGTCCGATCCGTTAGTTTTACAACGAATACGACCACAAGATAACCCCATAGAGTTGATTAAAAACTTTCTTAACCAAGATGTAAAATGTGTGTATAAGAAACTTGAGGAGATGGAAGAAACGTATACTAGAAGCATGAGTAAGCACCATATGAACGTTCTCAGTAGCAGCTCGGAGTATCCCGTCTTGAAATATATCAATTATTCCCACAATCATTGGACTGAAATCAACGAAATATTTCAAGATTGGAGGACTCGCTTCACGGAGATGAAATATCTCGATTTAAGTCATAACAAAATCTCAAAAATTGAATTTAGAGATCGTTTTGATCTCCCCCCGGGCGAAGATACCATTATTGACATTCGACACAACAACATCTCCACATTAACTGTCCAGAACATTCTTGATTGGTCAGCATTAGACAATATGTTCATAGACATAAGAGGAAATCCTTTAGATTGTGGATGTTTCAAACAAACCCTTATTTTCAAACTTCAAAGCGAATCCTTCTTTAAAGGAACGATTAGTAAATATAAGTATTTACAAAATATGACATGTGCTAGCCCGGAAAGTGCAAAGGGTATAAAAATTATTAATTTAAGTAAAATTGAGATGGGCTGTGAAATTCCACCAGAGGATTTGTCAATTTACTTGGTTGCATTAGGTGTAATAGCCGCCATCTTGATTTTAGTGATCATCGTAACGTTCCGGTATCGCCGTGAAATTAAAATTATTCTCTACACCAGATTTCATGTTGTTTTACCGTGGGATGTGGACGACAAAAAGGAAGAAAAGGAATATGATGCCTTCGTTTCGTACAGTTCCGGCGATGAAGATTGGGTGTACGATTATCTACAACAGAAATTAGAGACGCCGGCAGACGAGGACACCCCGGCCTTCAATCTTTGTCTTCATCAACGAGATTTTATCGGTGGTACGAGCATTTTAGAAAATATTATTGACAGTATTGAAAACAGTCGTCATACGATCGTTATCCTTTCTAAAAACTTTTTGAAAAGTATTTGGGGCATGGAGGAATTCAAGCACGCTTATTACCAAAGTATCATAAAGAAACATCGTCATTTAATCATAGTCAAATATGAAGATATCCCGGAGAATATAATGGACGAGACTCTGAAGCGTTGTTTAAAGACTTTTACCTATTTGGATGTGAAAGACGTTATGTTCATAGATCGACTGAGGTTTGCTTTAGCTATAAAGACACGCCCAACAAAGTGTGATTCAAAATGTGAAAAGGGTATGATAGATTTAACTCTACCTGGGCCTTTGGTTATAACTAACGGTCCCAATGTTATCAACACACAAGTATCTAATACCTCGGACGATTCTGGCTATGTGGACGTAAACCCAGTATCGAACAATGTGTATTGTAACAATAACTTTCAAAAAGATGATATAAAAGCAAATTATGTATAGATTTATTAAAAATGAGGCAATAATTTCAATAACGTTTTTGAAAATGTTAGTACATTCGCTTAGAAGGGTCAGGGTTACTTGTCTTACCCGTGTTCTCTATGTCTGCTATCAACGGTGCGGATAAGATAGGACACAACGGGCGCGCTAGTTTTTGGTTCTTTTAAAGCGTGAAACCATTTTGATAGTCGAGAATGATATTGTTTTTAATGTCCATTTTTGTATGCGATGCCACGACCTTACAAAATGTCTTTCATTTTCTCATTTTATTTTTCTCTTTTATTATTGTATGTTATGATATTCAGGGGACAATTAGCGCAGATTGATCTGTTTAATATGCCTCCTTTTTTTGGCAAGTGTTAAGTTCAATATAATATATGATTCTGTTCATCTTAGAATGTGTTACATAAAGTGCAGTTGATGTGTAAATTGAAAATAAAGACAATGATGTGTAAATTGAAAATAAAGACAATGTTTAAAACCTCTTATTATTTTAGTTTCCATTGGGTTTCTAAAGACGTCTTTGAATCATTAAATGTTCCACATCTAATAATACTTACCTTGTCGCTTTGCTGGCTATCTAAGTATTATTTCCCTTGAATCACTGAATTAATGCGATGGTCATGTCATGGGTTTAGAACAGGACAAGTCTAACTTCGGGAGATTCCTAATTGTTCTTGACTGGTCTTGGAGAATATATTTTCAGGTTATAAATCAATTTTGGAAAAAGGGCAAGTTGAAACCGGAAAGATTCTTAAAACATCCAATATGTAGCTCTTCAATGTTGATCATATACAGCGATGTCTATAATTGTATATCAGGACCACGATTCCAGCAATCAGCAAGTAAAAATAAAAGACATAAAAACACACTTGATATTTGAATAGGCAGATATCCCTAGGCATGCATTTATCAGGCTCTACTCTAGGTGTTAACACGCCATGTTTAGTTTTTATATTGAAACATCTATCAGAGGTTCAATGTGCACGGTCAATAGAGAAACAATGCTACAGACTACAAAGGTTGACAAGAGAATAATACAAGAGTTATGGTTATTGTTGAAATAATAGAGCTATTATAAAGGAGGTATTAGGCGGTATTGTAATAAAATTGTGTTATGTTGTTGACAACCAAGTTATAATACTCTACTTTACTCTAATCTATACTCTTTACCTGATCTGAATTATACACTGCTTTGGACATATTCTATTACTTTCTGTATTTGGTTGATAGTATTTATATTGACAACAGGTAAGACTCGGTATAGTTTTTTACTTTATAAATGACTTAAATGGTATAACTTTTAACTTAATACATAATATATTTGAATACAACTCAATAAACAGTTTGAATTAGGTCTAGTTTTTTGGAATAGTATTAACGTAAAATATAATTGAATAATTGAAACTCGTTATAAATTTAGCCACACATGATGCACTGTATTAGTTTCTAGGTTTCAAAATAATCGACCGCTTAAGAGACGATGGGAGATTCTAGCTGGGTGAAACTTTTCAATCTATACAAGTTCTTGCCTTTCCCTATTCATTACATTCTTGTTCCAGTCAATAAATATTCAGAATCTTGTGAGGCAGATATTCAGAAGTACTGACTTTGAAAACCTATGATAATAAATGAAAACAAAGACGTTTGCTCCTATACTTTGAAATTATAATGTAAGGTTTATACAACGTTATACGATTTAACCTTCATGACCATGAACAACGTCTCTTATACTCAACAATTATCTTTAGTGGACTGCCACAAAGACAAGAAGACTGGGCTGTCCAAAGGGTGTATCGACAAGACAGTCGCAGTAAATTACCTGTATCAGAAAAAAGTTACGACAGCCCTAAAATCATTTGTAATCAATCCAAACACTTTATATCTCAGCGATACGTTGGTCAGGACAATATTGGAAGGTCAATACTCAATACATAATAAGGGATAGTCGAAATAAATAGAGCTATTATTTGAGGTGACTTTTGTATAATAGTCAAGCATGTTTTCGTGATCTATCGATTTGCAGGTGTCACTTATTTTGCTTTCCAGTATGTAAAATATATTGTTACAGGTTATTGAATACATTTATAAATTGGTATTCTTTGTAGTTTGTATTGTGACAAATTGTTCGCTGTTCATTCAGTGTGGTTGTTGAGAATTTTAATTATGATCTTTTACCATTAAGTCTTTTCTTATTTTCTTGATTTATGATATTGTTTATATCGCCTTTGTGAATACGTTATTACATTTTACGTTTGTACATAGTTAAAGTCCAAATTCGTTGATTTAGAACGGGTGGGGGGAACCTTAAATAGGAATGGGCAATGATTGAATAATAGTTAATTCTTGTGTAGTTGTCAAGAACCGAGAGACGAGAGCCATCCAGAGACGTTTTAGATTCATTCACAACACGCAGGGTATCTTCGTGCAATCGACACAGCTCCCCATTGTTTTGTTAGTGGTGAGAACCGACAGTGGGCCAATACATACGTTATTTAAATGCCGTGACGTGAACAATATCAATAATCTATTATAAATTGTTAATCACCAGACGGATTAGATAAATCGATAATTTAGTGAATGTAATATGATAGAAGAGAGATATAATGGCTGATTTATAAACCTGTAGATTATATCTATATCGTTATTTATTTGTTCATATTGAATATGATAGCATACATTATGTAGCTTCCACATTATATTATCAACTGTTAGGGATTGTTAAGGATTGTTAGCTTGAAGACACTCGTTAAGGGTGGTTCTGGATCTCCAATTATTTCTAAGCAAAAAAGGCGTATAACACTTCCCGAAATTAATGACAGTCGTCAAAAGATTTATGTATCCCATTCTGTTCTGTAGTCCTAATACCGTAAACCTTAATTTTGATAAAACCAGATTTACCAGAACTTCAAGATGGAAGAATAGAAAATGTTCTCTATGGGAATTTTCATTATTCAACAAGAATAAGTGCGATAGGAATAAGCGATCAACTTATACTCATTTGCGACCGATTGAACTCTCTGAGGCATTCCCCTGGATTTCCAAGTGTTTTCATATCCGTACAGCTGTCCAATATAACAGTTGAATTTGATTTCATATTTCCAAAGATGTTTTATCGTAAATAGATACACAAACACACCATTTTTGTGTGGAGTGCTCGCTGGGACACAACATTTACCTAATGGTATGGGCAGTTCAAAATTTCCGTTCTAATGAGTCTTAAGTGAATATGGCCTGTAAGATATCAACAGTTAAATAGTAAAAAATCAATAATTGTAGAGATAATTGATCAACTTGTCTTTATGTTTTATCGATTTACTATACTATTCAATCATCATATTCTATTAAGCCGATTTCAAATTCCCCAATTGATTTTGTCTGGGTGATCAACACCAACTGAGTGTTCTAAAGCAGTTTACGTTGACCAACAGGATACTTTAGAAGTGGCTTTTAACATTGGGCGCACGGTTTTCATTGTTTTAAGGTATGTTGATTATAAAGTTTTTTAACTGCTTGAGGTAAGAGAACATTAGTTTAAAAACCTAGAAGCACTTTCCCATGAAATATTCAGTTCAATTCGGTAAGAGTATTTTATCGTAATCAGTTTTATTGGATTAGTTGCATTGTTATTGGGTTTAGCGGTTTTTGTATAAGTATTTGCTATGATATAAAGTATATGCGTTAAAGATATTGAATGTTTCAGAATTATAATATAACCGCAAGGTAAATGTGTTTTATCTAATAGGATTAGATTAGGATTATCCTGTAATCTTGACTGGAAACATTCCATAATCACCAACATACAAATATATATTTATTATACTCGTACATTATATACTCTCGTTTTACTGCCCTAGATCACGTTTACGGAACTTCGATAAATAAGGTAAATTCTTATTTTGTGGGCAGGTATTGGTATTTTTCTATTGGTATACATAAGTGAATATCTCAAAAGATTCTTATCGTGATGCTAGTGATGCATCAATATACGTATGGTAGGGAGTTTTAGAGTGTAGCAAGTCTTTAAACGGAACAATACTGCTTCACCAATATATGCAAATCAAGGCTAGAATTCAGTCTTTAAGCTGATAACGGTGAGCAATGAATAACCTCCCTCATAAATGCTTATAATATTTCACTTCCCAATGACATGTCCGTATATTCAGTTATCCGAAACCAGATAAATACAAATATCATTTTAATATCATCTCCAGATGAAAAATACATTAAGTAAATGAAGATCAAATCGTACTTCTACTTCCGGTGTTAACAAACATTCACGGCAACCATTGTTTTTTTCAAAATATATCTATTGGTATTGTTAAAATATATAGACACTTGATATCCATATGATAAACATAAACATCATGGCTTTCGACCCATTGAAAACTCTATAATATACTCTATAAGTATTTGGTCAATAGCAAGATAAATATTTAAACAATCGAACTGATATACTTCATCTACTATCATAGACTAATTATATATCACTCACTATATCATAGTTACTAATGCCAAGCCAATGTTTACCAACTGAAATTGTCAAACTTATCTGTCGTGGTAAACATAAGATTGGAACTACAAGTTTCGGAAGTATACGACCAAATCAGATCGAGCCCCAAATTCGACATTTCTAGTTTTCGGGAAGCTTTCTCGATCGTTTCAATTTCAAAAATGCGTTGATTCTTAAAAGTTATAAAAATATGAATAGGTCAGCTTACTGGATTAATTAAACAGGCGTTCGAAACCCTACGAAACATTTGAAATGAGACTGCTATATTGTCCAAAAATGTCTGGCTTTGAAAATATTCGGTTTGCATACGGAATACAAGGAAGCATAATTGTGACTTTTCCATTCATTTGTAACACAGATTTCATCAATGTCTTGAACAAATATATAAGTGTAATTTTATCATTACAGATGTAAAAGAAAAATTATAGAGGTTGATTCAGCTTTGAAGCTCAAAATGCCGGAATTCGACGAAAATGTTTGGAGTCACATGCATCAAGCTGCATACAGAGGCTTCATCAAATCTATTCACCGGTTTGTGGAAGAAGACAGCTCTATTCTTGAATCAGAATCGAACGACGAATATAAAGCCACTCCATTTCTACTAGCTGTTGAAAGTGGTACCCTAGAAACAGTGGAATGTCTGCTAGGACTAGGCTCTAAAATCGATGCTATTAACAGCCGAAATCATGGTGCTGTTGAAATCTGTGCTTTACGGGGATATACAAGTCTTCTCATATATTTTGTCAATAAGAATGACGAGAAACTACCAGTATGGAAACGGTTAATACAGTATCTGGCTTCTGATATGGAAGCGGATGTCATAGCAGCTGGTAAATCACTAACTCAACTCACAGATGCGTCCACTCAAGATTACCAGGACCACCGTAGTCAACTGATAGCTAAAGGAGCAATACCTACCACCATAAGCTTTGTGGGATCTTCTCTAACAGATCAAACAAAGGCCGATGGTATCAAGTTTCTACTGAATCTTTTAGAATCTGAAGATGTTCAGGAAACATTTGTGAATGCCAGTGGTGCCCAAGCTTACATTAAGCTCCTAAAATCAACAAATGAAACTATTATCAAATTATCTGCCATGGTGTTAGAAAAACTTACTGCAAATAAAAACCATGCCGATTGTGTCGTGAGATATACTGCTCTTCCTGCGTTGTATAAAGTCATCCAAAGTATCAAAACACCAGATGTGTTGGTTCCAGTACTGAACGTGTTCTCAAATGTGGCAATCGCCAACACATCACACCAAAAAACTATTGGAACTTTACCAAACTTCTTTGAAAACTTTGTGCTAATCGGTAAGGATAATGCAGATGGTGATATGATGAAGGCGTATACCGAGGCCGTGGATAACATTGTTAGGGATGAGAGAAATAATCAAAACGCGTTCATTGCTGCTGAAGGAACAGAGATCTTGATGGAGGCGTTGGTAAGACATTCAAGAAATAAAGATGTTCAGCTAAGTACTGTAGAAGCGATTCATTCACTTGGTGAAAACAATCCTTCAGCCCAAGAGACTATCAGTAATAAAGGTATACAGAAATTATTGATGCAGATGTTAAGAAAAAGTCGAGCTGATGAAATACAGGTATTAATATTTAACCTTTGAAAATACGTTGGAATAGATTATCCCTAGCACAATACTGGTTATTTCAGACTAAACTTCGGCTAATAGACGATTAGCATATAGAAATTCCATATGTCTAGTTTTCAAACGAAAAGTTATAAGTGAACTATAATAATCGACGATCATAGTTTTATGTAAAACTTCACATTTCTTTAAATTTATAACCCAAACTCTTCTATATTTCAGGAGAAAACAGGCATGGCTTTATGGGCTCTTGCAGGGAATGATATTGAAAAACAAAGAAAGATGGCAGAGGGAATTGGTGTGACCAGTTTAATAGAATTTCTTAACTCTAAACGTGAAAACCTACATTATATTAGTTCAGAAGGATTAGGGGTGTTGGCACAAGGTCCGATCAGCTTACATGAAGAAATAGCCAGCGCCAATGGTATTCAACCTTTGATAAGACTGTTAGAATCGGACAAGGATTTTTACAATATCATATTAAGTGTTATAAGAACTTTACGATATCTGAGTGTTGGTGTTGGTAATGTACCATTCACAGAGAACCAGTTATCAATAGATAAATGTGGTGGTGTTGAAATTCTGATACAGTTGTTACTCGATGGTCAAGATGATTTGATCAAGGTTGAAGCTGCTGTTACTTTAGCACATGTTGCTCTTGGTAAGTTCACTTAATTTCGCTGCGAAATGATTATGTTGTATACATTTCTTAAAATGACAAAACGACTAGCACAATAATAAGAATTTGCAATCAAAACCAAATTGTTATCAAATACTTTTATAATTTGTATCCACTCAAACGAATGTCCAAGAGTATCAGTACTAATTACCAAAGTTAATGATTTGTGGTTTAGGGACCACATCAATATATATCAATATATTGATTGGAAAAAGAATATTAGTCATTAAGAAAGGATTCACCTCGTCAGTTCTAGTCATTATAATATTATATTTATAGGTAGAGAAAACATCACCTCTAAAATAAACAGTCATCCTGATTTTAGTTTTATCAGAATATTAAAGATGATGTATGCTAAGGAAGACATGGTACGATTATTAGCAGGGTCAGCATTAGCAACGTTCGCCTATAATAATGTTAATCAACAAAAAGAGATTTCTCTCCAGGGTGGTGTTAGGTTCAACTGCTTTGTTCCTTTTCTAAAATCATCAGATGAGTTTTACAGATGCAATGCAGCATATCAGGTAACAGTTTAGAAAAACATTATCCTACACGTATCGTGTGTATACGACATAAATGTTGCATTTGAGAAAAATTAATCAATCTTATAACGTGGGTGATATTTAAATTACATGGCTGGGTGACCATTCCAGAGGTATTTCAAGAGGCAAATAAAACGTCCCATTCATTCATTGGTTACTTGGCGCGAAGTTTCAAGAAGGAAAAAATGTTGCTTATTATTGCTCCACTGCTTATCAGCCCTCTACATATTGAACCATGAGACATATGTTTTAGGTGGTAGTATTGGCCTTGATAATACCAGATGAAGAACAAGCCACATCATCAGCCGTTGGAATCAAACTATTGGTTGAATTAATACAAGACTCTAAATCAAACCAGATATTAGCATTAGCAGCTGATTGTATTGCCAGACTTGCCCATACTCGTGCTGGTAAATTTTTTGAAATTTTGCGAATGACAGACATAATATACCAGAACATCAAAACTATATTGTATGATTCTATATATCTAAAGCGTTTATGAAGCTGTCTAGTTGGTGAAAGAAAACCGAAATGTATTGAAACGGTCACCGGTGCAATCGATCCAATCATATAAAAGACAACAGTCAAAGTCACTGAATTTTATAAGTATACCTGGATCACAACTCACATCCTTACATCTTATACAATTTACCTTAGACTATTTTGCCTGTCAATTCTCCTTCCGTTATAAGATATATATATTGTATTTATATCTCTACTACTCTAGATAATCATTTTTGTCCCAAAGTCTTAGCGTATTTTATTGCAGGTGTACCAGCAGCCATTGTTGCAATCAATGGTATCGACTTTTTATTTGAGTTATTGAATTCTGGAACTGTTCCTGTAGAAGGCTGTGCTTCCATAGCTTTGTCCTATTTATCATATAACCATACTGGAGAACGACGGCTTCTGTATAAGTAAGTTATTCTTTATGCTACATGACTTTAAACATAAACGTCATCGTCTCTGTACATAGCACAAGACAGGAATCTTATGATTCTTATGCTTCATATTCTTTGACCAAAGGGAAGCTACTCTGTATAGCATCACATCGTTGTGTTAGTAATTTCGTTTTGGATTTTCAAGCAAAATGAGTCGATGTTCTAATTGTTTTTTATTCCGTTTTGTCTTACAGGTGTAGGACGGATCCCTATTTAAAGAAAATTTTAAATAGATACACAAAAGACAAACATCGGTTGTCTGAAGATTTTATTGAAGGTTGGAAACATTTTAAAAGGGTCGGAATTCCCCCCATACCGTAAGTTTACAGAATACATGCACCTCAATCCGAAAAGTCGGAGATGTTCTTTGAAGAAGACTTACTTGAGATTTCATTGTCCCGCACATCCTTCAGGTAAATCCATAAAGGAAAGCCGACATTGAGCATCACTCCGATCGACCTACACCCCGCTCGTCCTTTTCTATTTCCCATTTAACATTGCCCCAATGTCAACCAAAACGCCGTACTCATGCATTTCAGGGACGACAGAATCAAAAAGTTTGAACCAGCTGATGAAATACAACTTCAATTAAATGCGGAATCACCACGAGGGACAACAACTGGTGTCGAGTCGTCCAGCAACCATGTTGAAGATGTTGCTTTAAGTGAAAGATCAGCTAGATCATCTCTTACACCTCAGCGATCCACTACTACCAGTTCATTCCAGGAGACACAGACTTCTGTACCGGCAACTCGAACACATAGTAGTGTCAGTTTTAATTTATCGCAACAAGAAATGGTTTTACAAGAGGGTTAAACATAATATGGGTGTTAATGAACATTATATTTAAATCTAAACTGCATTTATGTGGTTAAAAGCTTTAAAGTAGTGATGGGCGTCTTAAATAGTCGCCGGTATATTGAATCTTGCCGAATAAAGTTTTCGGTGCGAGATTATCGATAGAATACAAAATATGATAAACGACCTGCACTACAGTAATCCAACACCTTACGGAGACTTCGTCTATTTGGACCCCGGGGTGAATTATTATTGTTATAACAATTTTAGACGAAATCCATGTTGTTATATTCCAATGTTTTGCCGTCCTTAAAGTGAATTTTTAAATCCCCAGAAATCTTCCAAAGCTATGCTTTTTGTATATTGAATACACATTTAAATCAAAATTTTATATAATCTCAGGGTATACAACTATCAAAATAATATTGTATTATTAATATATACATTTATACAAAGACCCAAGTTATTTTCCTTAGTAAAATGATGCCAACTTATGCAGGAACCTCTTGCTTATACTAATAATATTGTAACCTGTCCGTTATCTTACATCTGTTAGTCATCACCTTCATTCTTATGACCTCTTATGAGACATCTCCACATTTGTTGATGCACATCCGGTTTAAAGCTTCACGCAAGACCCCCAACCTTTATCTATTTCTTTACCTTTTTGAATTATCTTTTTTATGATGATTTGCAATAGCTTGAAATTTTCTCATGAAATGTTTCATTTAAGTATACCACTTTGAATTGAACGATTTCGCAATTCACCACTTCAGAGCTATTAGTTAAAGGCTTGAGTTTTTAAAACATTTCGCAATATAAAGATCTGTATGCCAAATGAGTTGTGGTCATTGATTTTACTGTAATCACTTTCACAATTCACTTGCTCTGAGCTCCAGTTTTATATAATCATAATTGAAATTATGGCACAATTGACTGGGTTTCTCGTTCTATAATAATTGGGCAAACATCGTTTAAGCATTGGTATTATAACAGTGAGATAACGTCACAGAAACGGCCTGTCACTAGATGGTAGCAAATATCTTTACTTGTCAGTTAAAATTTATTAATAAGTATGAAATAGTTGATTCGAATATGCGTCCGGATAGTCAACTAATGCTGATTCATTCTTTTACATTGTTAAAAGCCTGTGATTACCTTAAGTTAGTGATGAAGTATTCCATATCACCAACCAACCTATTGTTTGTTGTTTTTTATTGACCTTGTTTATTTTTCGGCAGAATTGCTTTAGTACCATCATTGCGGTTTAACATGGATTATTTTCATGTAAAAAATGGCTGTTTTCACCTTTGGGTTGTGGAACTGGGGTGTCAGGGGTGTTATAGGAAGACTTTATATTTTATCTTCGCAGATTTATATTGATGGTCTTGATAATTCTGGTGAATGTTTTTTCAATCGATGGACGTGTAACAGCCACTTCCATAGAGCCAACCTGGGAACCTGGGGAGTATTATAATTACCTTGCATGACAAATTATAAAATTAACAATAATTTTAATGTCCATTTTTTTGGAGTGTGAGGGGTTAAATTTGTCCTCTGGGGTCAGGGTTTGAAAATGTTGGGAACAACATAATGTACAGTAAAGTAGGTTGGTGACTCTTATTTTATTGATTTGATGATAGTCAATACTTCAACAAACATAAAATCTGTAAGAACCGGTTGTTAACATCGTAACCTTCAATCTAATACAGTTTAGATAATAAACTCACATAGAAATTGTTAAGACAACTCGATTTGTTTGACGAGCAATTATTTCTTCATTTTTGGCGATTTTGTTATTTTCTGGTAAATTAGCGACCGAAATAGAAAAAAGGTAGCAGTCGAATGCTTTTCAATATAAAAGCAGGAAAATTCAACTCAGTGGAAATTATATTAGACACGATACTGTTACATTTAATACTCAACTCTGTGTCTACAACCAGTGAATTTTAAGTTAATAATTGAAAGGAATATCAGTTAGTGAAGTGGAAATTCCGTTACAGGAAAATTGGCACCATTAGTTTTTTATTCCGTTCTACTGAATTCGGTGCCTTTTAACTCTCCTCTAATGGATATTGAGGACAGACACTAAAAATCAGAATCCTCATAAACATATATTTTACTTTAAGCTGCGTGAAAAATCTATACCATTCTTTGAATATCGACTATTTATTGCGTATTTCCTCTGTAGATGAAACCTATTTAACTGTAGACGAAGCAGGCGTTGCATTTGTCTTCTGCAAATGACACCTTTGATAACCAATTTTTTTTACCGGTAAGCGGAGAATAATATAACATCCCCTTCAGTATAAAATTACGACACTGTCACATTTAATGAGAATGCATACAAGACCATTTGCTTTGTCATGATCAGCTGATACTAAGAATAGCATATTCTGGAGTTTTCCCAAGATAGCAGCAAAAACGTCTTTCTGAGTGAAATTGATTTCAAACTTCCTTTCTATATATATTTGTTCAATGAATGTCATGCAATGTTTCAATATTTGCCTTGGCAATTATCAATGAAAACAGCATTTCTATCATAGAGATAATTAAAGAGTAAGTGATGAATTGATGAAACTCTTGTTAATAGATTGAAGATCGTTCAACATGTATTAAAACAGCACCAATTCAATACAACACAAAATAGCTATTAGAAATAGCTGGAGAATAAATAAACAGAATGTAAATTTAATATTTATAGAAATGTTCAGAGTTTAATGACAGTTTGATTACTCCTTCAAACCCTATTTTCTTATTTCCTTCTAATAACTTTATTGACCGTCACTTTGCCGCTGTCGTTTGAAAGATCTGGAATACTGATTTAATTGAGGCTACTTCCAGCTGTTTAATTATACCATTCAATTTCTACCGGTTGTAATTTGTAAAGTAGGAAAAGTTTCATGCTGTTTTTAACTAAAACGCATCAGTCCTGCTGATTTTTTACATTATTCAACAGTTTTTATGTATTATTCAACTAGAAACGAAAGTTAAAAGCAAAAACGTAGTTTAATATTACCAGTATTTAACAATGTTGCACTAATACTTTTTGCCGCATGTGCTACAGACTGTACACCTTAAAGATCCCTCGGCAGATGGAAATCGAGAGTGGATAATGCCGCTGTCCTGGCTAAACGGCATACATGTATGGGGTTGCCTGTCTTCATTTGCCCAATAAGGTACAAGAGAGTAGTATGTTTTTGCAATAATAATTTGTGATACCATGGTATGAAATGTTGAGAAATTACTAGCCAGCTAAACAAACCAAAATATTAATTGATATGCAAAGAATTGAAATTGTCAATATCATATTGGTATGGAACATCAATTCTTATTATCATAACTTACAATTGGTAATGAAAATCTTATTATGACAAGTAACAAAATGTGACCATGCGAAATCAAAAAATAGGAGAAGCGATATCAGGGAGATCTTTTTTTGAGTTACATGCCTTATTTAGAAGTGCACAGTGACACAGCCATACTTTCTGTAGTTAAAGAGCTAGCCTCCTATAAAGTTATCTCTACAGGAGAATCTAATTGCTTCATATATACGCCAGATATAACTCAATTGGACTCCAGTGAGATGCGTTATCATGGTGAACAGATTGGAGCTATCATATTCTGTCTCCTGTCACTAATACAGCTAATATGATAAATGAATCGCAGCCTGATAATAATAGCAATATATTACAATAATTCCATTTATTACTGACAATACTAATATTTCAATCCACCGGAAATAATATTTACTTGATCATGTATATATAATGGAGAGAAGAGGAAGTATATGTTCTGATTATGGTCGACAAGTTGTTTTCTGATGGTTTCTCTTTTAATCGCGAGAGGTTGAATTTAATTACTTATTCTCCTATCTCTCTTTTCCCTTTTCCAAGTCGACACAGTCTAACCAGAATGAGACCAACACATCTTCTAGCTATCTTAGCAGCGTAGCTGTTGTATCTTAATTCTGGATAGTATTTTGAATTTTTCTTAAAATGTGATTAAAATTTTATTTTAATTAAAATTTTATTTTAATAGTGCATACAGTTCTGTATATTGTACATATGTCACTCTGCAGCTGGGTTTGTCAATTTCCCTTTCGAAGAGATCACGTAGCTGACAATATCTATTTGGTATATTTATTGCACTCTGTATGCATATAAAATCCATATATGTGACATGCATTTTCGTCTTAATATGGGTCTATTATTTCCATCACAGTAATGACGGTTATAGTAGACACATTATGAGTTATATTGTGTTGTATGGTGTTATACAGACTGAGATTAGATGTACCATTATTGACAAGATTTTATAAATTAGATTACTGCTTTCTCTATATTAATCTAATATACGGTAAACTGTAATGATGGCTGAAGGCGCTATGACAAGTTAGAATACATGTACTTCTTGATTCCATTTACATCATAGTCTTTGTACTGAAGAGTTTTCTAGGGGCGTTTCTTTAAGGTATGGTTTATTTGTGTGATACTGAAATCTGTGTTTTTATGTGTAAATTATTGTGTATCATTCCTCAGGAATATATTTTTTAAAAGGTAAATTGATTTATGTTTCTCTTATGTTTTTCGTTCTAAATATTGCATTTAACGAGACCAAATTAAAGTACGTCTCTTTATCCATCTATCGTAAGTACTTTGACCTTCTGACTGTTTCATTCAGGTGTTGTGCTTTAGTATTTGTTGTTCAGTTGGCAGCGAGTTAAGCAAGCCAAGAAGTATGTTTTTGGAATACAACTACGGTGCATTTGTATAGGAATAACAAAATACCAGCGTAACATTATCAGTTATATGGGCATTGTGAATGCTGAGTCCAAAGAGTAGTATCATATGATATAAGAGGTTAAGCATCCAGTAACTTACCTTTTACACCAAACGCGATGTTTTCACTCTCACTGGGATCTCTGAAATTAACTCAAATGCTCAGAGCCAACTGAGTTGACAGCAAACATAATCGTGGCAACTTGTACTGATGTTATGCTTTAATTGATCGGGTGAGACAAACCAAGACCGTGTGAGCTACAAACAGAATGTGTATGTGAAAGATCCATCGATAACTCGAGAACGTTGGCTAATGCAGCTGTCCTAGCAAATTTTCAATGCACACTGCATGGAGTTGTTTGTCTTCATTAGCCCATTCAGGACGTACATAGACATAAGATACACAAGTTTATATTTGTTGCGCTGTCGCATTCAAGATTCCTCTTACTGCTGTAATACTGATCACATAAACATCGTGATACTTTATATTCAAGCGAGGTGTTAGCCTACAAATACATCAGTAAATATCTGTCTTGTAGGAGTTTGTAAAAGGATAGGACTAATGGTATAGTAAATAACACTGTCAAAGCCTAGTATCATTGACACCGGACATAACTAATGGTTAGTTTAAATAACACAAAACTACACATTATTTTACTGGAAAATACCAATTAACTTCTACAGTATCATAGATATTGTCTAAAGGTTTAATGTCACTACAAAGTCGCTGATATCAAACGATGCGAAATAAGCCAAGAAAATGGCATACTTATTAAATATTTGTATCATAAAGCTACCATTAATTCAATAATAATAATTGGTAATTTAGCTTAATTGAGAAGATGTAATATTGAGGCGACGAAATAAAACGTTTCTCATCGATCATACTGTGACTGATAATTTCAAAAATGAATATAGAAATACATAAACAACCTTTTAATTACATAACGGAACACAATTTTGTGGTAGTCTTGTCCTGAGTTTTATCGTACACAATTTTATGGTGTAGTCTAGTTTTATAGTACACAACGTTTCAACAATTTACATTGTCATC